ACTATTCAGAAGTAAAAATATAATTTATGTTAGATTGTATGTAATTATGCTCTTCGAGAGCAAATAAAATTTAGCTAAAATATTAATGGAAATTATAATGTGTTATTTCAAGATCACATTATATTTTACTATTACTTATTCAAGAACAATAAATCAACATTTTTCTGAAATATGGAGAATTTTAATGTCATGCTCTTCAAGAGCAAACACATATTATTGTTACAGTAATAAATTATGTAAGGATTTACTCTTTAGAAGTAAAAATGTAATTTTATGTTAGATCTTATATTATTACATTATTTGAGAGCAATAAAATCTAATCAGAACATCAATATTTAAATATGTATGCAGAAGAATTGACGTATAAATAAATAGAGTAATTTAATTCGTGATTTTACTTTTACCAATCAATATACTTTAAGAATTTTGAAATTATAATATTATGTTCTTTTGGAGCAATTATTTTTTTTTTAAATATAAATGATGTGATATTTCTTCAGGAATATCAACACAAATTTTTCATATTAAGTTGTGCTGTCTTTAAGAGCACAACTAGATATATAATCTTCAAAAGTATAAATGCAACATTCTTCTTAAATATTGTCATTAACGATTCGTTCTATCTTTCGAGCTAAATAATATAATATTAAAATGTGTGCTCTACATGAGTAACAACGAAATATTATTCTGGAATATTTATATGATGTTTGTTGCATTTCTTTGAGAACATCAACACCATATTCGTTAAAAATAAATATAATTTAAATTATGCTTCTTCAGGAGCATTGAGTAAATATTCTTCTGAAATATTGAAATTATAATATCACGCTTTTCGTAAGTAATATTCTTCTAGAATATTAATAATGTTGTGCTACTTCAGAAGCAACAACGAACTATTTATAATAGATAGATATACAACTAATATTCAAAATACTAATTGTAATATTGTGCTACTTTTGGAGTAACAACATGATAAATTATTAATTTGAAAATTATAGAATAATATCTAAAAATATTTAACTAGCATATAGACATGATATGAATTTATATAGAAAAATTAATTGCTAAACATGCATTAGAAAAAAGAATCTCCATATATAGAAGTTAACAAAATTGACTAAATCTTTTCCCACATGCAAAAGATACTAAACATGCATATGTATTCCACATATACAAAAATCAAAATTAGAACTAATACTTGGCATATTCAAAAGATAGAATTAATACATGAAAAATATGTGACAAAATTAATTGTGTATGAATCAAAAGACATGAATTAATATGTGTATAAATTACAAATACAAACGTGAATTAAAATTAACATGCATACCAACGAAAAGCAAAGGAGAATAAGCAACCTGGTTACGATGTATATGTATATCGAAAGAATTCACATGCCACTAAATTAATTTTAGTACAAGTGATAAATATTTATACTTAAAAAAAATATTACCACATTTATTAAACTTTGAAAAATTAAGTTATCGTGCTGATAACGTGTTATGAAAGGAGAGAAAACAAAAGAAGATAGAGAGAAGACAATAGACCTGTGTGTGTTTTATTAAGGACCATAGCCCTATATCTATATGTAAGAATTAGGGATATAATGGTAATAATTTCTAAGGTTGCAGAGGTAAAATTGTTATTCACTTGTAAACCCTAATAAACTTACGGTTTACAACAAAAGTAACTGAAGTAACATTTATCAAGAACTAGTTATTGTTAAATGTGCATTAGGAAATGCTCTATAAAAATTGTAAAAATAATATTTGAATGCGTAAATGCTAATTAATTTAGAATTAATACCATGAAATATATACGGGATAATGAAAGTTAAATCATTTGTTTAATTTTTAATTAAGTAAATTTGAATGTTAATTAGCATACATTAACGTGAATAATGAAATGCATTCTTGAAAATGAAAGTCTAATTAACTTATAATTAAAATTAATAACACTGAAATGTATAAATGAAGATGAATATTGATTAAATAAATGTGAATGCTAATTAATTGAGAATTAATAATAGGGAATTCATAATGCCCTTGTTTGAGCCCCATTTTGGAGGAAAAGTGAATTTTTGAATAGTGTATTAATTGAAAATGTGTGGTCAAAAGATAGGAAAAAATTTTGAATTTACGTATAATATAATTTTGTTGAAAAATATATGGTTGAAATGATATCAAAATACTGTAAAAGAATGTATTTTGGCTCAAAAAGCTGACATTAATAAAAGCATATAGGTTAAATGAATTTATCAAATATACACGTACATTAATGGTAACTAAATTGTTAAATAAATTAAATACATATTGAAAAATGAAAAATAAGGTATCATTGAAATAGTTAAACTATATTAGGGCTAAAATCGTTCAAAAAATGATTCCACTTTATGTGATATTTGATTCCAATTAAGTAAAATTTGATGTCAATTAGCATGTGTGGCGTAAATAATGAAAAGCATTTTTGAATGTCAAATTCTATTTAACTTTTAATTAGAATTAAAAATATTGAAATGCATAAATGAAGATGAATATTAATTAAATAAATGTGAATGTTAGTTAATTGTGAATTAATAGTAGAAAATTCATATATTAATTAAAAAACAAATGTCAAATGAATCTATCAAATATACATGCACATTGATGGTAACTAAATGGTTAAATAAATTAAATACACACTGAAAAAGAAAAGGTAAGGAATAATTGAAATAATTGAATTATAATAAAGTTAGAATTGTTCAAAAAATGAAGTTAAATATTAATTAAATGAATATGAATCTTAATTAATTGAGAATTAATCACGGAAAATTCATTCATTAATGAAAGCGCGTAGGTGAAATGAATTCATCAAATTATATGTACGTTGATGGTAACTAAATTGTTAAATAATTAAATACAAGTCGAAAAAATGAAAGGTATGATATTGTTGAAATAATTAAATTACTGTAGGGCCAATCGTCCAAAAAATGACTTGATGTGTTATTTAATTCCAATTAAGTAAAATTGGATGTCAATTAGCATATATGAGCGTAAATGATGAAATGCATACATGAATGGTGAAATTCTAATTAACAATTAAAATTAATAATACTATAATGTATAAATGAAGAAGAATATTAATTAAATGAATGTGGATATTAATTAGTTAAGAACTAATAATAGAAAATCTATACATTAATGAAAGTCCACAAATGAAATGAATCTATTAAATGTACACGTGACAGACGCAGATATTTTACATTAGAGGGTCACAAGTAACAATATTTTTTTATTACTTTATATGTGTTATAAATTGTTATACTACTTTTTCATATTGATTATTTTTACATCTAAAAAATTTTTATATATAAAAAAAAATCGATAATTTTTTATATGTAAATTTTTTTCAGATATAAAAATAATCAAGATAAAAAAGTAGTACAACAATTTATAACCCCTATGAAGTAATAAAATTTTTATTAAGAATTTTAAGTCAAAAAAAAATTGATATCATACCACATAACATTTCCTAATAAAATGATGTAAATTATATTAAGAAATTTGTCTTGAAAAAATAATAAATATTAATCAAATAATTGATTTTTTTAATAAAAAAACGAGTTATACGTCTCTTTTGACATATACATTTGACGTACGTTTAACCATTTTCGACATTCATTTGGATCATTCGTTGTATTTATGATATAATTCTCGAAATGAGCTTTTAGAGGATATAGAAGATTTATGGATACGACTAGTGTATAATTGCCGAAATTTTTTTAAATCGAAATTCTCAAAATATTAGTTTGGAATGGCTTACTTTGACGCATTGTAACATTTGCTACGATTGGTCATTTCGCACATCATTAACGACGTGGAATACTAAGTCGCGAATACTTCAAAATGATATTAAGAATGTAATATTTCAATTTTATTTGATATTCTATAATGAACCTGAAAACTAAGACAAAAAATTAAAAAATTAAAAATTCGAGGGTCATGTGACCCTATAGGACCCCCTAGGTCCGCCCCTGTACATTGATGATAACTAAATGTTAAATAAATTATGTATCGAAAAACGAAAAGTAAAGCATTATTGAAATAATTGAATTATAGAAGAGTTAAGAGTCGTCACTTGATGTGATATTTATATCATAATTATAATTATAATAGATTATAGATGAGACATGGTAACCATTCCTTCCCCAAGTATACATTGATCATCATGTTGTTAATTGAAAATTCGAATTTAACAGTAAATGAGGATTCCACTACTTTGTCAGATATAGTCATATAGAACATAAAGAAGCCAATTGGTGCTATCAATGGTCATCAAGCTATCTTGACAAAATCTAAGAGGAGACGTCGCAAAGCTGAGCCACAAGGAAAGAATTTTGTCGGGAATGATCTTTCTCAATCTCATTTAAGGCAAGATGTGAAGTGTTATTGTTATAAAAAAAGGATCTATTAAGAGATTGTTGCACGTTGAAGACATATTATGAAGAGAAGTTAAAGAGTTCAGGCAGGGGCGAAGCCGAGGAGACAAAATTTTCTTTTTGCACTGAACTGATAAATAAAAATAAATAAAAATAATCCATAAAAACATATTTTTAGCTATAAAAGATTATAACCTTAGAAGTAGCCAAACAGTGCATACCTTTTTTGGCCTTTACAAGGCGCTCATGAATTTCACATCTCAATCTCTTGCTATACGAATAATTTCATGAAAGAGTTTGAATATTACCCTAGAGGTAACTCCATTATCAAAGAGGAAAACGCTTCATGTCATGGCTTTAAAAATATATAGTTCAATCAAGAGTCAGATGGCAACTTTGTATCAGCCAATATGCTCATGGCACCAAATGTATCATAAGTAAATACAGTAATGGGAAATTTTGCCCTTTAAGGAAAAATCAACAAGAGAACTCCGAATCACATGATATGGAAGATTAATGATACATATCTATATTCTCCGAGTTTGAAAACAAGAAGATAACATTTTCGTTGTACCTTATCATTTTAGCTTGGTGCTTTCCCAGTGACGTGCTGCGCGATCCACCCCAAACCATCGTACAGACCTTCGCCAGTAAGAGCACTGCAAGCTTGAATATGCCAATCATGGTTTTTGATACTGTGAAGGGATAGTGCATCAGTTATTTCAGCAGGTTTCATCGCATCCTTAAGATCCTGTTTGTTTGCGAAGACGAGTACAACTGCACTTTGTAAATCCTCGTGTGGAAGCAGCTTAAATAGTTCGTCCTTCATAAGGGAGATCCTAGCTCTATCGGTGCTGTCTATCATTACAATAACTGCATGTGTCCCACGATAGTACGTTGTCCATGACGTTCGGAGTCTTTCTTGCCCACCAAGATCCCAAACCTGATTATTAGGAGGTCACTCAGATTAGCTCAATTGACACAAGGAGATTTAACAAAGCAAGCTAGGCATGAACTACCTCAAAATGAGTTTTAAGGGATTTACAGAAGCAAGGGAATTCAGACATATAATAATAATTTGAAATCCCTCTAAAATATTAATCCACATTTTTGCTAATGCAGCTCACAGAAAGAGTGTAAGAAAGGTGTATTCTTATTGTTAGCCGATTCCATCTCACTTCGATGACTATAAAACATGTTAGCTATTGTTTATGTTCAACTCCATTCTACGTGTGAAACATGGTTGACAGGTATAGTTATATCAAGTTTTTTTTTAAAAAAATAAAAAATAAAAAAAATCCACTGATAAAAATTAAAATATCATTAGCAATTCAAAGAATGTGCCAGTTATGTCTAATGCCTTCAGCAGCAAAACAATTTGCGGTCCATGGCCCACCCAAATATAATCAGGAAGGTGTAAATCATTGTAG